CACCACAACCGTTGTACTGACGAGGTCCAGTTGTGGTGCTGAATAGGAATGTGTACGACTTAATGGACCGAAACATTCCTATTCATCTGGTTATTTAATACTTTTTTCATATTTCCTATATTGTTGTCAACATCTTTACTCTTCACTGTCCTGGATCTGTTCTGTTCTGTCACTATTTCCTCTAATTCTAGGTGCCAACTGAGTTGTTGATTGTTGAATACTTTTCCTGATCTTCTCGCCTGTTGGTCGTACTTCTTCCGTGCAAATTTTTTCTAATCTTGCAGCCTTTCTGATATTCACTGCACATGATTAGGACAGTTAGTCTGTCTCTAAACTCGTCATTAATTTCGATTGTAAACTGGTGTTGGCGCATGCCGGGGTGTATAGATCCGCCATTAAATTGATTATAAGCAGCCGTCGACAGAGTGGACTAACAACAGCCTTGCCAAGGGTGGTTGCTGTTAGTATTTGCTTCCGTTCGGGATATTTGCGAGTGCCTCCGCTTCTCGTGTAAGCGAATATGCAGCATTTTAATTGCACGTGCGATGTATTCCATTTCGCTAGGAGATAGAGCTGACACAAAAGGATAAAGTGTAAAAGAGAAATCGTTGGCTGATAGATTTCATTGCACTGATGTATTTTCAGTAACTCTTTTTTTTTTTATCTTGTTTATGATTTAAGTATTTGCTGCAGTTTATAATACATTTTTTTTATGATGTTCGCGTATTTTCCCATCCACAGCAGGATTTTAATCCATGCCAAACTATACATTACCGTTAATGAGGCATATTTTTTATTTTTCCTCGTTTTCTGTTTGTGCTTTTGTGTTTTCATGTGCTTAAAACGAAAAGTGTGAATCGGAAAGTTACCCAAGTGCAATGGAATGTCTTGTTAATTGATATTTGTTGGACAGTTTTTAACGGTCAGATCAGTTTGTAGTAAATGGCATAAGAAGCATTTTAAGAAATTACTCTTAGTACGATAAAGCTTACAGCTTGTATCATCCCATGATAAGTAAAGGAGAGAGAGAAGGGGATGGTTAAGGAATGTCTAAACTTAACTATCGTGCAGTGCTTGAACTGTATATTTGTTGCACAATTGTTTAGCCCTTTGTAGCAACATGCAGCAAGTATCACTTATTGCACACAGTCAGAAAGGGCTGAAAAACTGCTTTGTTTTGCTGTTTTGTCAAGGAACGCAAGCGATTTTGCCTTGGTTGGTGCGCTGTGCATTTTCAAAAGGCTCTTGATATCCCTCTTTTAAAGATAATATGATTGGCAAGTGGTATCTCCACCTGGGTAGATTGTGTAGCGGCTTCATACAGTTACTTTTAAGCTTTACTTTTGGATAATCGGCGTGCACGTCTTTTTATGTATATGTTTGTTTGTATATGTGTTTGTATGTGTGTGTATGTGTGTGTGTATGTGTATGTACGTGTGTGTGTTGGGTGAGTAGAGTAATACGATTCAAATTTAGCTGAAGAATTGATGATAATTTGCAGCGGCGGTGGTGGCGCGATGGGTGAGGCAGTTGAATTGGCCGAGCAGCTGCTGAACCCGCGCTGCATGCTCAATGTCGACGGACTGCTGGTTCGTTCTTTTAGGGCCTACTTCCATTCAAGACCGATGAGATTTTCCCCAGTCATGTTTTTGTCAACGTACATTTGAAAAATTAATCGTCTTGCAGCCATGTTTTTGCAACT